CGGGCGAAAAAACCAGGGATGGGGTATGGTGTATGAAGCAAATCAGACGACCACAGCAGTGGCATATACATTTTTCAATTTTACAGAGCATAGATGCACATTCATATTCACACAAACTAGTGATTAAGAGGGGCAATCCGCTTCTAACAGTATCTGCTCAACATCTGCACTCACCATAAATTCAAATAACTCCATTTCCAGAAAGAATTAAAACTAATACAGAATGACTGAAGTTGTGTTACCTGGTTGAGCTCCAAGAGAAAAACGCCTAGTCCCCGCCATTAACAGTTTGTTTCTGTTAAAATTAAAGGTTAAGACCGTTATTTATAGGATAAAATTAGCTTACGTGTCCTTCACTGTTACACTACGCGTCCCCCCTGACATTGCAGGATTATTTACCCAGCTACTGTTTACTTTACTTTTAAAGACACTGTTTATTAACACGTTTTCAATCAAAAGTGTCAGCGTTGTAACTTTTGAATGTATATCCAATATTTTAAACAGAATATATCTTGATTTTTGAGCCTCCAGCTGTTCAGATGTTTGAGCTGTTGAATGGTTGAGACTTGATATTCAAATCAATTCGGTACAAAGCAAAAACAGAAAGCCATTACAATGTTAATGAACGTTCCATGCAAAATCCAACTATGACGAAACTATAAAGCAACACAATGGATATTTGTATGGTTATATTTAGGTTTGAATTTACAGGTATAGATTCAACAGAAGTAATAGAGTGTAATCCCAAGCCCAAGAAAAGGAATACTAAAAAGAAGGAAAGACGAACAGTGACATTATCAAAAGGAGGGTTGAATCAAGAGATTTTTCCTCCAAGGCAGGAATACCTATAAAAGGAGGGGGTATGTTGTCAAAGGGATTTTGGCCGGGCCATTTAGTGTAATATTAATAAAACTATTTTCTCATAAGTATGGTTTCTCCATTTTCCCTTGTTTACTCTATTAAGGGGGTGTTTGTCTGAGTTTATGAAAACTCTAAACTCTAGTTCACAGGTCTAGAGTTTCGATACAACGAAACAACCCATGCGACACCCCAACATCACACTTGAACGGGGTTAAACTTGCACCGTTGCATGTACGCTACATTGGCTCGAGGTTCATTGGTTTTGTTCTGCCATGGACCCATCGAGGGAATGACTCCAATTCCCTACCAGTTTGTGCAAGGATGGTCTAATCCCTTTTTCATTGTCAACTATAAAGAACTTCTGTTGGCTTTTACACTCCCATTTTACAAAGCATCTCCTCCTAAAAAGTTTTATGAAGCATTGCCAAAAGGCCAAAACGAAACACACCTTACGGTCTCAATTATCACACTCCACATGAATGTTTCGCGAAACCACACTCTCCGCGCTTGCTATTTTTGTCACGACATTGCAGAATAAGGTTATAACACTAGTCTCCCTCATTGACAATTTGACTCTATTTAAATTAAAGGTAAGATTGTTATTTATATAATAATTGATTATAATTTTTATTAACCAACCAATAAGGTATTGTGATTGTGTACTGACTCTGTTGAAGTTTTCCAGTAGTGATATAAGGTTAGCAATAATTATATATCTCTAATACTAACTTCACTGTCAAGGAAATTCTTTGAATTACATTTGAGAGCAATTGTTTTATATAATGCTAAAAAAATGTTTTTATATAGTTGAAAACAATTTTAGATTTTTATGGAAAGGAATTTGATTAATTTATATTCTCATGGGTCTCAGTTAGTTTTATGGAATTAAAAATTAATTTCATGTTTGTAGGGTTAAGAGATTATAAATAGAAAAACATAGTTAACTGTAACTGCTGCATATGGGATGCATTAAATAATCTAATATAATAGATTTATGAACATCCCACCTACTATAATTTGTATATCGAAAATAATGGAGCCACCGAAGGTTGCGCATCGAATCTATACACCGAATGACGTGACAAAATCTTGACCATTGATTAATATTAACTGAAAATGAATCAACGGTCAGGATTTTGCCACGTCATTCGGTGCACAGATTCGGTGCGCAACCTTCGGTAGCTGTAGCATTACTCTTTGTATATATATCTTTAAGCCCATTGTTTTAAAACTCGGATTGGAGGGCAACCCGTTTTGCTGCTCGGGTCACAGGTCAACCAGTCCAACTAATCGGTTGGATCGATGACGTCAGCGACAATTTTATTTTTAAAAAATTATTATTAATCCCTTAAATTTAATATATTACAAAAATTACTCTAAAAAAGTTCAAATTAATCCCTAAAATTTTTATTTATTTCAAAAATACCCCAAAAATTACTAAACTTTTGACATATCTCCAAAACATGCCTATAAAATTACTTAACACTTATAATTTTGAAATATTACAAAACCCCCCTAAGACCTGAACCGGACTAGAGAAGCTGTAGAGTCTCGGTCGGACCGATTCGACCAACCGGTCTGGTCCAGTTTTTAAAACAGAGTTTAGGCCAACCATTTATATTATAATATGGAGCTTGATTTAACCTATATCCAAGAGTTGTGGTGGGATTTAATGTGGATTAATGGAGCAAACCACAATCCCATGCGAGACTACAAGTAAACTCTAATTTTATTGTTGCCCTTATTGTTTAATATATTTAAGAAAAAAAAAAATTGGGCACTCTCCTTAAGCTAAGTGTCAACCAAAGTTTCATCTATTCCCAAGTTTCAGAAACAAAAGATAAAAAAAATTTAGGCCTAAGTATGCATTGATAATGGAGCATGAGTTTAGATATAGCCTACTGACAACAGTCACAACATAATGATAACATCAAGTCATCAAAATCAATGCTTTATTACACTGCCTGGAGGTGGAGGATTCATGCATCTTATTTACTGAAACCTTTAACAGCTGATGTTTCTTTGTCCCAGTCTTTCGTTTGTGCAATGAGCGGAACATGGTAAACGGAAGAAGCTGAGAAAATATGACTATCTGAACGCAGAAATACAAAGATAGATATGAGCTAACCTCTACGTAGTGAAAAAGAACTTTGTCTTTGTCTGAATGTTGTCTCCAGCAATAGTATTCAATCAGGTAGGAAGCAAAACAGAAAAATGTCTTCCCTTGAAAATGAAAGGGAAAAGTGAAATCATATCAAACATGTACCTCCAAATCCAAAGAATCGTGCGAAAAAACCAGGGATGGGGTATGGTGTATGAAGCAAATCAGACAACCAGAGCAGTGGTATCTACATTTTTCAATTTTACAGAGCGTAGATGCACATTCATATTCACACAAACTAGTGATTAAGAGGGGCAATCGCTAATGTTAGTGAATACCAGAAAACTAAATTTTAAAACACTTACTCTGTCAGCATGCCCTTCTTAATTGCAAAAACTAAGCCATATACCAAGCCTTTCGCTGTTTTCTGTTATTAAAAACAATAGAAATTGAAATGAGATTTATTTCAATTGTTTCTCTTCTCAGCATTAAAGCATCTAGTGGAGGCTTGGAGGGCGCCATTGAAATATGAAATGAGATGAGGTAGTAGTTACAGAAACAGAATACCCTGCTAAGAACAAAACAGAAGATTGAGAAAATGAGTGGGAAAGGCCACAAATTCCTAATTTAATTTTCTTATGTGTCTTCCCACCCATAAACTTTGAGAAAAACAATTTCCCACCCATCGTCAGTGGATATGTAACCTAACAAGGATAAAACTGCGAAAAGACTATAATACTCCTTGTTAGTTGACTTTAAAATTTTTAATGAGGCTGAATAACATTTGCCTACCCAAATTTTATTAAATGTATTTTCATCGGGCCTATTGGTGGGGGGGTGTGCGTTTCATATAGTTTGGTTTATATTAATTTTAGAGTTAATAAATTAAAAAAAAAAAGTTATAAAAATAAAAGTGCTATTAAATAAAAAATCGAAAAAATAAAGAATTATAAAAATTTGATTTTTTTTTTTTTAAAGAAATACACTACTTTAAAAGCATGTTTTAATAACCAACCTAGGGTGAAACCTGGCAAAGTTGTCGGGTCTTAGTTGATAGTTTAATCGGTTTGACTGGCCAGTCAAACTGGGTTTTAAAAAGTTTAAAAGTAGCAAATACACCCCTAAAAATATTAAGTCTCTACAGGTTTAAAATTTGGCAAACACCCCCAAACAAATCGCGTCGATTGTTGGTAGTAACGACACACCAAATGTAATTCCCATCATCCTTTGAGCCATTTCCTAGAAATCGACCCGAGATCGAGACTCGTTCGATTTTGGCTAGATCTAACCGACGCCAACGTTGACATTCCAAGCCAGATCTCAGCATCGCTAGCGTCGACAACCATCCTTATAACCATGAAATACTCTTCTCACCCCTTATCAAAACCCATCTCACCTTACCCTGTTTGCCTTGCCAATCGTCAAACACCGACAAAACTGACTGTTGTCGTAGCGTGTTTTTTTTAATTTTCGATCGATTTACTCATCGGAAATCACTCCGTCGCCACCATTGCAATCACACACACTTTCTCTTTAAAAGCCCCCACATCTTGGCCTTCAATTATCGCCAACTATTATCCCAATTTCTAGGGTTTTGGTGAATAGGGAAACTGGTAACCCAACCTAGTGAAAGCCCTAGGTTTCGGTTGAACCGGTTGACTAGCTAGCTGGCTGCCAAGTTTTAAGGCACTATTTAAAAGCAAACCTCCATTGAAATAGAAATTGAAGGTAGGGTTTAATGCCTATTTTCCAAAATGTGTTTGTACTTTAGGGGTGTACATACATTAACCCTATAATATTTATTGTCCTAAGCCTAACTGGCAAGAATGCCCTTTGCTATTAAAACTAAAGTCTGAATTTAATGATGGGTGGAAAAATGTTTTTTTTTTTTTTTCAAATTTTATGTGTGAAACATTTAATTACCGCAACTTTGGGTGGGAAAAGTTTCATTCACGCGTCAATAATGCTACAATAATTATATATGTGCTGTGTAAACAAATTGCACAGAAAGCGAAACTTTTTTTTTTCCACCCTTTTTTTATTCAATTACAGATTTACCCTTAAGGTGGGCATGTTTTAGGATGTCTAAAAACTTGCTAGAACTGATTTTTAAGCCAAAATTGCATTCAATGGCTGCAATAACCTCCTCTCTACTTCGGTACTCTCAATCTCTGCGTTTTTTTTTTTTTTTGATGTGTAATATAGAATTTAATTGAACTGGGTATTTCTTATTCTATTTGTTTTGTTTGAAAAGGAATTATGCTGGAAGTGCTTCTGTTAGAGCGTTTGCTTTTGCAAATGTGAGGGTTCCTCCTCCACGAACCTTCTTTAATTACAACCCCGTTAGCTTTCTTCTTCCATTTCACTCTCGCAGGTACAGTTTACTTTTTCTTTTCATGTCAAAAGGTTGATATTTGTGGCAAAGTTTTTTCTTTTTCAGAAAATAATTATATAATTCTTTTTTAGATTTCATTCATTGAACTTGTAACAAGTTCTTCAATTGTTTATTTGTTAAATGTTAACTGAATTCTGATGCTTGAGAAAGCAGAACTAAAGAGAGAGCCTTGCTTTGTTGATTGAGTTGTTGGTAGATATAAGAATAGAATGGAAAAAACTGTGGAGAATAATGATCGAAACAAAATGGGTTTAAGATAAAGCTGTTGTAGTTTAGAGTTTACCCCCATTTTTTTTAATGAAAATAACAAGAGAGGAAAATTGGGGTGGGCAGTTTTAGGTATTTGTGTGCTTATTGTAGATATTCCTAAAAGCTTAGAGTTCTGTACCTTGTTGATCGTATTATTGTTGGTGGAAGAGATAAGAAGTTTCTTTTGTTGGAAATTGAAAATGGAGTGAAATCACAGGGTATTATTTATGATAATAGCTTTTGTTTGCTGCTGGAATGAACTTTAATTTATGTTCAATGACAATTGACGTCTTTCTTCATATTAACTTGAAACATCTACAGATCCTTCTCTCGTATTGGTGTTACAAATGATGAAGAGGCCCTAGCGAAAGCAGCTGCAGTGAATGCTGATAGTGAAGCTCCAACCATGTATCATAATAACCCTGGTTTGATCTCAAATTCTAGTTATAGTGTAATTCATAGATACACTTTTTTTTTTTAACTTGAAATTTATGGATAACAGTCATATACATATATGTATTATAATTCAGTGAAACTTTTGAAATGCTAAAATTTGTGGAGATTCTCTGCAGATTGAGAATCTGTAGAAGTTTCCAGTGAGAAACTTTAATGCTGATCGTGATTTTAATGTCAGTAAATAAGCTGTATTAATTTGAGTGCTTGGAGGCATATGATATGTATAAAAACACTATTATAAAAAGAGGGGGTAACATTACCTTCTTCCTCTAATGTGTAGACTGAAATTTGTTTTTCTACTGCTTTTGTTTGTGTTGGAGAGCGTTCTCTAATGATTAAGGATTATTGTTTATGTAGATTAAATCACAAACTGAATATACTTTTGACTACTGCTTAAGTGTAGGGACATGTTGAGTTTGCTGATGGAAAAATCTCTCTCTCTCTCTCTCTCTCTCTCTCTCTATCTTTGGTCCTTTTCAGATTTGACAAGATCATAGCAAAAGAAATCCCTTCGTCCATTGTATATGAGGATGAGAAGGTCTTAGCGTTTCGTGACGTCAACCCACAAGCTCCTGTTCATGTTTTAGTCATTCCAAAGTTCAGGGATGGATTAACAATGCTTGGGAAGGTTGGTTCTCATGTTATTACTATTGTCTTTCCTGACAAAAGAGGTCTGCTGTTGCAGTAATTAGATTACTCCACTTGCAAATGTATCGACAATATTATATACGCTTTTTGGTGTTCTCTATGCATTTCAATTGGGATGATTTTTCTGTGTAATTTTGTGTCTCTCTTCCTTGTCAGGCTGAAGAAAGGCATACAGAAATATTGGGCTATCTACTCTATGCTGCAAAAATAGTGGCCGAGAAAGAAGGTATCCTGGATGGTTTTCGAGTTGTAATCAACAATGGTCCTGGTGGATGTAAGCTTTCATCCCATATTATATAATTCCTGGAGGATTTTTTCTTTTTAGGTCACTGCATTGATTGATATATTTATCTTGACACTCTCACTCTCCTCCAGGTCAATCTGTTTATCATCTCCACTTACACGTCTTGGGTGGGCGACAGATGACATGGCCGGCTGGTTGAAAGTTTGTAACATATTTACGCTAGCGAACTCTAATATGTTTTCCTTGTTCTTCATTCAGATCCCAAACTATGTTCAGCTATTAATCTAGGACATTTGGAGGATTATTCTCATGAGCTAGGAATGTTTTGACTTCAAATTTTAAGAGAATATAATAAAATATGGAGTTTATTATTTATGCATAATATTATAATAAGTTAGCCATGCTCTGGAATAATTCATTGAAATAAGAATTATTTCATTGCTGTGATGCTTACGGTGTTGATTTACAAGCTTGTAATCTTAAAATTTGTGGTTTAAAATCACAAGTCCATGTTTGCTAGTGTGCTCTATCTGGCATTGGAATCATGCCATTTAGTAAAATGGATTAGAACTATAATTCACCTGTGGGATTGAAACTTTTCTCGTTTTACCAGTTCAGCATTTAACGTTCCATGTTAACATTGTGACATTCATTACCTTTTGCCTATTGATACTGAGACTTGAATCCCAGTACTATGGCCAATCTTTCTTTAATAATAACTCGTATTTTTTTCAAAGACAACCAAAATATATATGCCAGCTGAAGGTAGTTAGTTCAGCAGCTTCACAATTTCCACTGCCAAAACAAACTAAGGCAATCAAAACAATATGGGTGAAATTTGGGAATCAAAGACAATTATGAATATATGATACTTCTTTTATTTTCTAAATGTACAAATCAATTATATTGGCAGCTAAAAAATTGCATTTCCAGCTACAGTATTAGTGAAGATACAAATAAATTAACATAAATCTACATCCCGTGCAAGAAAACTCTACCCCTTCCACATACAACCTAAAATAATGAAGATAAAATAACTTTGACCATGAACTTTAGAGGGTCAGTAAATTTTTGCATTTGTACTTGGTGATGCCTATAACTCGGATACCTTTTAACAGCCAATTTCAGAGAAAACTATGGCAGTTTGTGTGGGCATCGAACTTCCAGATAAAGGGGGTGTCACAAAGAGCTAATAATCCCAGTCTTATTTGAACAGAGACAAGAGCAATCTGGCTCACTCAATTCCCTCTTGATAAGCCGTCTGTCACGATTAATCATAAGTTTGATTAGAGGTAGCTTCTGTGAGACTTGACGCCACACTTCGTTTACTGTTCCCCCTGGATGGTCATATATAAAGTATCTCTGCACCTGAAAAACAATTTACATAAAGAAAAATAAACTTTTAAGTAACCTAGGTAGCTGGTATATTGCAATAAACGGAAAAAAATCGCAAACCTTGAAGGTAAAAAGTAAAACAAAGTGCATGAAAGTTTTATCTAATGCGCCTCATAATCCTCATTGCAAAGTAAATGAAATCTAACAAGCTATAGTGTTGCAGTTGCCCTGACAAATGTTGTCACTGTCAGGCTGTGCCTGCTTCCGATTAAGTCTAACCATGACAGAGAAGTTTGTGAACATTATGTCAAACCCTAACAACTGCTTGGCTTCTAAGCAACTGGACCAATAAAAATAAAATATCAATGTTTCTATAGTTCATTTCTAAAATAAAGTACTCTAATGAAGATGCTTTAAACAAGTGTGTAGAGTTAAATGTTGCAAGGAGAGAAGTTCTTGAGTGTGCACATTCAAACCTATTTGGTTACAAGATGCTAGTGCCTTAGAGGCAAACAAAAACCTAATTGCTTTATAGCCAACTTTTAAGCTAATGAATACTCATGTTTACACAACACAAAATAAATGTTGAAATTTTATCCGGAACACCAGTGAAAAGTACAGGCGTGAAAGCAACTGTAGTATCAAAAGTTTGAAAGTAAAGGAACTGCAAATATTACTTACCTCTTTGAGCTCTTTCTGATATTCCAGAATCTTTTCTGTGGTCACTGCTTTCAGAATTGAAACTAAATACTCAGGCTTCAGAGCAGCGTTGGTCTCTACAAATACTGCAATCTTTCTATAGTCTATCACGTCTTCAAAAGGCAACTCAATGCTATCACTAACTATTACAGGTATACACAAGCTAACTATAGAATCAAATAGCCGGCAAGCTGATGGTGTATCACCAGCAGGATTCAAACAGAACTTTGATGTATGCATCCCTCGGGTGGCTGCACGTCTATTCTCTCTAGATTGTGTCCCATGTTTTATTATGACACCTTCTTCTGTTTCAAGTAAGTTGAAAAGCAAATCCCGAATTTTGCCTCCCTACAAAGGAAAAAAAGGAGATAAGAGACCATAAAAAATATATAGAAGTCATAAAATCAGGAATACCCATTACCCTAAATCTGAGTCAAGAGGAGTATAAATCCTGCAACCAAGCACACAGATCTAAGAAACTCTAGTCACAATACGCTGTCTTATAACTGTGTATTAACATATGAATAAAATTCTATACAATGGTTTCACCGAGCACAAAAACAAGCTAGTTCCAAGGAAAGTGGTAAATGTGAAAATGAAGGCTCTATGAGAAATCTTCATTGTCACAGACACAGACTTCAATCCAATTCTCCAACTTGGTTCAATATTCACTAATAAGATGAAACCTCCCGATTAAGCATACTCACACAGAAAGCCCCATTCCAGCTTACATTCATATGCATATTCAGATAAACAATAAGCGAACACCATAATATGAAGGCACTACAAAATCAAATTGAACAAAGCACACAAATTTATGTTTGTTTGAGATCAGATAGCCAGACATTACGAATTTCATAACCATACTGATTATTAATTTGATAACTTCATCACACTCCAATGCCACCAAAGCAATCAAATCCTACAATCTAAATTTCATGACACTAAACCCTTAATAAATCCAAACATTTAACCAACAATTATCTTCATACACTTTCCCTTATGTATAATCCAAAAACCTCTAAAATGCTCAACATCACATATAACTCTTCAGCAAAACAACACACACAATTAAATAATTGATTAAATAAGCATAAACAAAGTATAAATTGATATCAATTTACCTCTTTTCGATACCGATTGCCCATGAAGAACAACAAAGTGTTCCGATTTTCGACTCCAACTTCACCCTTATACAAATTAATCCGATGCGAATATGGAATAATCACATCCTTCACAAGCGACCCCTGGTCACCCCTCAACCGCCCGAAATCAGAGACCAACAACACCGCATTCTTCACCCGATCCACCACCCTTAACATCGCATTCGGGTCACCCGCCACGATCACGTGGTCCCAACCATTGTTCCTCCTCCAATACTCCTGCTTCTCCAGCCATTCCACCAGCTCCTCCTGCATCTCATCGTCGCTGTACCTGAGAGCCCCACCTTCGGTCGCCAGCCCACCTCCATTGTTCACGATCAAACTCAACGAAGAAAACACCGGGACGAAGAAAAGATCCGCCTCTTCAGGATCCGTCACCTTCACAATCGGAGACCCGACTCTTTCCCCCTCGGGTCGATTCAGATCCGAGAACAAATACCACTCCCCCATATGCTGGTGACCCGGGTATTTCAACGACGACACGCCAGTACCAGGCTGAACCGAACCCCCACGAGCCAAAGCGTGCTGCTCGATGATGCCATAAGTGAACTTCTTGGGAAGATCGTACATATAAATTTTGACTTTCAAGTTTCGACCTTTTAAATTTTCAAGATTTTGTTTGACATCGGAAGAGAGCTTGACGTCGTTGGCGGGGCGGTCCGGCGGCGGCGAAGGGTGGAAAAAGGAGGTGGCGAGAGCGAAGACGGCGAAAACCAAGAGGAGGACGAAGATACCGAGGCGTTTGAGGAGGGAAGATTTTCGCGCCATTTGAGAAAAGAAGGAAAGGGATAGGGTTTTGCGAGATGGGGTGGAGCTTAGTGATGAGTGGGGAGAGGGAGAGGGAAAAGGTGAAATGGGTTTAGTTTTTCTGTTCATTTCATTTGTGGGTTCGCCACTGAGATGAGCAGTGAAATGGCTGGACGTTGGCTTCTGTTTTTGTTTGTCTATTTGTTTATTTGGTTGAGTGAAACTTTGTATGAATTTAGGGATTTTCTTTTTTTTTTTTTAATGTATTTTACTATTTTTTGGGGAATTTTGGGTTATGAAATTGGTATGAATTAAGGCTTTATAGGTTATCGATTTTGATTTTTGTGTGATTTTGGGGGAAAATTAGGTGTTGAGGTTGAGGGAGATAGGGATGGTTAAAAATTATAAAAGGAGATAAATGATGTTGAAAATGAAGTTTTAGTTTTTATTAATGTTGATATTATTAGTAAGGTTTATTGATTCATTATAATTTAATGATTTTGAGAATGAAATCTAAACTTGAAATATCAAGAGGGTTTATTTATAATATATATATATTTTTTTTTAAAAGATTTGTGAAAATGAATGGTGTTAATATGTGATTTTTGGTAAAAAGGGTATGAGAGATCATTAAATTAAAATATTGCCTGGTACAGGCGTTGCTTAAATGGAGAACATGTTTATTTAGTGATTAGTGACACCATTAAATGGGAGTGGGATGGTGATATTTACATAACATTAAACTTATGTTACATGATTTCATTTAATTGTTATGGGCATCAAGCAAATTCTCTGTTTTTGGCTAATTTAAAACATGAACTATTACTATTCATCAATTTTAAGACCTAATTTTCCATTTACTGTTCATATCATTTATGTGCTGTTAAACCAGAACTCAACTCTCAAAAGTCAAAAAGTTTAGATTATTACATTATTATCACAGCTCTACTACTAGATAGGCATAGTAATATGGGTGGCAACAAGCAAATCTTAGATTTTCTCAACAAACAACTATATATTTTTGGTTATTACATTCCACTTACTCATAGAAACATTACACTAATACTCAAATTAACGTTTCATTGTTTACATGACAACTGCAATGCAAAACTGATCAAATAATATTATACCTTTGAATCAAATGATACATATGCCAGAACTAGCATGAACAAGTTTCTCAGCTGTCAAAATTGATTTGTAGGTGTTGGTGGGCTGGGAATTTGTAAAACATGCTCCACCTCAAAATCTCAGAACCCTTTTTGAACATATCAAGTCAATTTCCCAAATTATCCTTTCTTTGAAGTTATGAATCTTCAGTATCTCCATTCTTGTTCTTCTTCTCTTGTGGAGCATTGTTTCCAGTATGAGGTAGTTTGAAAGCTGATAAACAAGAAAATTAGGAAAGTATCGAGGACCAGTTGCAGTTTTCAGGATAAAGAACACAATATCTTTGAATTGGCAAATCGCAACATAGAAGAACGAAGAAAGGAAAAGACACAGGAAATCTGAGGTTAGCCACACTTACACCTTGACCATACTCTTGATAGTGCCAGAAACATTAAAAAAGGAAAGCAGTAGCCTCAACAAAGATGTTAGGCATAACATTATAAAGAGCCCCCACAAAAATTACGCACCAATTAATTGATTGGAGGAGAACACATACTATGATGTCAAGGTATAAGATGATCCATCATTTTCAAGAAAAGACTAGGCACCAAAAGCATACAGTAACTATTACGGGTCAAGGGAAAACACCAATTTACAGCTAAGAATTACACATTCACCATAAACAAAGAAACAATCTGACAAAAGAAAACACAGAACAAAGGATCTTAAAAAATGAGCAGCTGGTGTCATTGGGTTCATAGGAAGAAAGTCAGAGATAAGAAAATAATAATACTCACATTTGATAGATGATCCAGCAAGACAAGTCAGCCTTGAATTTGTTTTTGCCTCAGCCAATGGAATTGGCTTCTCCTTAACTGCCATGCGTACATCCCAAACACGTATAACCCCATCTGAGGATGCAGATGCCACTAGATATGGATCATCAGCATCACCACCACCATCATTCTTAGAAAGCACCACAACACCTTTCACACGGGCAGAATGAGCATCTCCAATGCAATATGATACCTTCCCACTGTTTGTGTCCCAGGCTGTGATACTACGGTCCTCACCACCAGTAAGTAGAACTCCATTCTGTTAAAATAGAAATAAAATTCAAGAACTAAAAGAAAAAATTAACATGCACAAAATTGAAAAAATTATCTGTTTCAAGATGCCAAAACACATTATAAACAGAGAGTTGTTTAATTTTAGGCCAAATGCAATACTGTTTCACCACAGAGTTCCCACCTTAAACTTTATCAGTTTAGACTCAACCAGTGAACTTCTAAATCTATTTCAAAACATAGAACTTCCTATTCTTCGATTCCAACAACCCAAATGACGCATAAATCTAATATGCATTTGCTTCAGGGGTAAAATAACAACTTCAATCAATCATTCAAAACAATTATTAGTCAATTGATAACAACAAAACATATGCACCAAAGGATGAAACTAACCTCTCCAGGAGCTGCACAAAGAATCCTTTTATTTCCCTCCAATTCACACAGCAACTTTGCATCTTCAGCTTGATGAACCCCAATTTTCTCCTCTGTAACCATAAAAAACTTATCCCCACTGAAGTCAAATTTAATCAAGCTCGCTTCTTTCCCCAATTTATGATAAAAACTCCTCCTCCCTCTCACCAAATTAACCATAGCCAAGCACTCGTCTCTCCCCACACTCAACGCGAGCTTCCCAGAAGGATGAATGGCCAAGTCATTGACTCCCTTCTTGTGGGCCTTAACAGACTTCAAAAGAACAAAAGGGTCGGCGTCAAAAATCGAAACGAACCCATCGGCAGACGCGGCGAAGAGGTTACGAGGGACAGAAAGATTGGGCGGAGTGTAAAAGGCGAGAGAGGTAACGGAGGAAGAATCTTGGAGGTGCAGGGCGCCGAGAGAGGCAGAGGAGGAGAGGTCGTAGAGGTGGATGGTGTCGTCACTGGATCCGGAGGCCCCCGCGGTCCCGGCGACGGCCACTGTAGTGATGGGGGCGAGGTGGGACGGGTAGGAAAAAAGCTGGGTTAGGGTTAGTGTTAGGGTTGAAGAAGAAGAAGAGTTTTTTAAGGGTTTAAGCTTATAACCCCAGATGAATTTTTCGTAAGAACCTGCAATTAAACTCATGTTTATTGTTTCTTCTCTTCTCCTCTTCTGTGTGTAAAAAAATTGAAGTATAAGGTTTTGTTAGGGTTTAAGGAAGATAATCAAAGTTGGGGAAGGTAAATTGAACCGTAGGATCAAATCAACGGTCCAGATTAATTTCAAAATTAGTTAGTAGAATCAAGACAGCAGCCCACTGTAGTCTTCAATATATTTTTTCTTAGAATTTTAATGTATATTTTTCACATAATTATTATTAACATTAGAATTACAAAATCATATAGATTGTAAAGTATAGACAAGAAAAACTTGTGGTCACAATTCAGTTAATTAAGTTAGCATTTTGCATTTATGTGTTGCTAAACCAAACAATATAAGCAATACATGGTGGAAAGGGAAACTTCGTCAAATTTGGCATTTACACTTCTCGGACTGTTCTTTCTGATTTCAAGAGTTAACAAGATGAATAAAACATTTTAGAATTCCTTATTATCCTCATTTATTCTTTCTTTCTTTATTCTATTAAAATAGAGAACTATTGGCCCATTCTTTCTTTATTCTATTCATAATTAAATATGAAACAGTGGCAAACCACAGTGCTTACATTTATTAGATTTCTACTGGATACTCAAATATACAATAAAGCCCCAATTTAGACCATACCATAGTGTAAGCCAAAGAAAATGGTATAGTATGAATTTCAACTGAATAATTCCTTTGAGCCTAGAAAGAGAGTTTGAATAGACTACTACATAATTTTGACAGCATATATAGAAAGATAATCCAATCGCAAAATGCAGAACATGCAAACTTATATTATATGCTCTGTTAGAATGCGTTACAATATGGAATCCACCGTACTGTTAACTTCCCAAAAGATTATTTGGATTAAGCAAGAAGTGATAGGTAGGACGAGAGAAAATGCTAGACTTATATAGATGACTGATTGTATCAGAAAAAAGAGGGAACTGAAGCAGGGCAAACAAGATGACAGGAACACAAGCTATTGAAGCAATTGGAATAGCTACTGACGAAAGGTCATCACCAAGAGCAATGAAAAGAGTGGCTCCAAATGCTGCCATCATGGTGGCAATAGAGATAAAGAGGGTTGCGAGCCCTATTATCAATCTGTTTGGTAATGAATGTAGGAAATCTTCTTCTGCATAACGCGAAGTGAGAATCGACAAGAACATTAATATTGCAGTGGCAGAGCAGAATAGCGCCAAAGCATCTGATACTGCAAAAACAAGAAATGATACTTGATGTAGAAAAAGAGGCCTGCCTGTAAGATTGTTATTGCCACCAGGCACGGTGAAGGCTGTAGCAAACATCACAGTGGCAATAAGCGTTGCAACAAGCATACATGAAGATGATGTGTCTTTCATCCACTTTTCCCCCTCTCGCAAAAGTTTCTTGTGTTCCTCCGAAAACAAAATATGAGGTGTTTTCCCGTCTGAATTTTTGGACTCTCTATAAGATGGTTGGACAACCTTTTCAACTTCCTGTGATTCAAAGGAAATTATACTAAGATTCAAACCTGGAAACTAATGGTAATAACATAAATAAATTCAGTGGAAGAGAATCAAAATCAACAAAGTGCAAGCTTAGTAGTTGAGCATCAATTAACCTTGAACCAATGCAACTCTCGTCGAAGTTGCAAAGCTGCTCCAGAATCTATTTTGAGTCGATCAGGAAGCGCAAGCTTTCCAGCTAGATGCAACATGTTATTGTTGTTTTCATCTTTATAAGCTGCTATCAGATCTTTATGAGCACCAATGGCATGTATGAGAGTAAAAATACTTTCTTGTCGATGAACAACCGCAATATGAAATATGCTTTGACTATGATCATCAACCTTCCAAATGAGGTCAGGACACATTCTGATCAGCACAGTTATGAACTCAACATTCCCTACTTCCACAGCAGTAAACAACAAACGAGAAGGTTTCCTAAGTAGTTCTCCAATTTTTGAGTCATCTAGAAACAACACCAGTTTCCAAAGTTGTTTCACCAATTCAAGAGCTTGGAGATGTGTTAGCTTTCTGTTAAGGATTGCTCTTATACCTGGCACTGACACGACAAAGAACCATCACTTGGAGGTGTTTTTCTCAAAATTCAAATAGTCTAGTGTATAATAATCATGTAAAGAACAATCAATCTGCTACTATAAGAAAAAATGTTAAAACCATGAGAATGGCCAATAATAGAGTTACTCACATGAGTAGATGCACCTCTGCCAAATTCCAAGTTGACTCCCACTTACAAATTCCAAAGGTTTTCTTGCCAATACATGAAGAGCTGTCTCTCCATTTCCATCCCGAGCTATAGCTAATTCAGGATGATGATGAATTAAGTGTAATGCCACATCTGGCAAATTAACATGAGATTCTCATTAAAGTCTGTTCAAAGAGATAAAGTGTTGCAACATTATCTTTAGATCAAAGAGTGAAACAGATTTTACAAAACTAGAGAAAGATACTGAGAAGGAAAAGGGTAAGTTACCATAAAGGCCAGTATTGATGACAGCAACAAGAAGTTCGATTCGATCTTCATCTTTTAGATCAGTGTCCTTGGTAACAGAGTAAAGATACCAGACCATTTCTCTATGACCTAACAAGGCAGCCATACACAATGGTGTTGCTCCCTCACTACCTCGGATTGATGGCAACTTTGTTCTTACTAACCATCACTTCTGCAATTCTTTTGATTCCAGATGCAGCAGCAAAACACAAAGATGTGTTCCCAACCTTATTTTGTAGTGCCAGGCCATCAGGTGTCATAATATTCACAAGCTCCTGAACAAATATAGTATGCCTAGCTCCGGCAGCAATGTGAAAGGCAGTTTCCTGATTCCTAGTTATCCTAGCAGACACTGCTTGTGGATTCAACATAAAAAATGCTTTTGCATATTCCCAGTCACCTTTAAGCGCCGCGAGATGCAAGGAAACATAAGTAGTAAAGCGATTCCTTTCTACCTCCCCTTTCAAAAGTTTTTGGAACACCATAAGTGCCGAGTTACTGAAAATATCTAAGTTCACTTTATGGCATATAAGTAAATGTAAACATACCAGAAGTTGTCCGTGACTGAGACACTGCTTCTTGTGGAAAACTTACATAGTAACCTATGGCTTCTGGATTTATTTGTGCAACATCATTGGAAGCGATTTGGCCAAAACCATAATTCATTGTTATGCCAACATCAGAGCGTAAAGCTACGCTTGTATTTTGCTCCCACAAAGATTGGGTAGAGTGTACAACAGATTTGATTTCTGGAAAACATGTTTGAATGGAAAGACCCTTTTTGGATCGTGACGAATTAAGGTTGTTCATCATCATTCCCTTCAACTAGTAGAGAAAGTGCCAAAACCAAAGTAAGAGAGTATACAGTATAGCAAGATCTGTGGAATTGTTGACAAATCCTACAATAATTTCTTCTACTATTCGTAATTTGAAGAATCGTACTTGTCAATTTTAGGAACAAAGTCGTTGAAATTAGTAAAACTCTGAAGTCTTCATCAATAGATCAAATGGTAACGGAAACCCGATTGCTGTGATGTTTGACAGGAATCAAAATTGAAATTCGTTTGATTCAATAATGGGTTTGATGAAAATTGCATCAGGACGTAATAGCAAATGGATTAAAAGAAGTATAAAATACATAAACAAGATGGATTCTGCCGTAAACTGTATGCATGTATTTATACTTAATAATAAACTAATTTAGTTTTCTACATATATATGTTTAAGTTCAGTAGTTTGAGATAACTAACCCAGTAGACAAAGTAGACTCTGTAATTGAATAGTTCTGGGTTTGTTAATTACCTTTAGTTGTTAGTTCTCAGCTCAGACGCAAAGCTTGAAATCACAAATGTGAATACAGCTTAACCAACAAAATTTAAAGTTAAAACAGATGACTGGAAATGAATTCTGTATAAAGATACAAGGAAATTTTAGTCATCAACAATAATAATGCAAACAAAACTTTAGTAGCATAAAGTATTTTAACTGACACTGAAATATTGCATTTCTAAGCAAAGGTTAAGTGGAGCAAGAAAAGAAAAAGAATTACCTTGGTGAAAGCAGTAGATGATGAAATGTATGCAAAACTATTCTCTGCTGATGTTCTGAGTAAAGTAAATGAGCATGGATGCTGCTGAGAGAGTTTACAGTGTTGAACGTAGGTCAAGCACAAATTAAACTAAAAAAAATGACAAAGAGATGTATATAGATTAGAGAACTTGGCATGCATGCACCAATAAGTCAAGACTTAAACGCGTTATAATTGGTTTACTGGTTGTGGATGTTTGATACGTACTGAGTTGACATTGGTGTGAAATGAAGCTTTTATACACTTTCTTGGAAAGGACACCGAAGCTGGTGGTATATTTCCATGAGATAGGTGCTGCCACGTATACCTACTTGTAACCAAGTTTCAAATGTATTACATCAGAATGCAATCACTTCTGATTAAGAAATTTCCAGTAGAGAGCAGTGTGATCGATAATATAGGTAATTTATCAATTTTACACCAGAATTACATGCTTTTAACTAAATTGTTGGGAAAAAACAGGGGAACTCACCCCTGAATTTGTAAGAAAAAACTACAATTTTGGATGGTATGTTGCCATAGTTTGGAATATCATATAGAGAAGAAATGAATATTTCTTTTAACATCTTTGCAGTGGTCTAATCCTGCTGATAAACCATAATAGATGGAAACAAAATGCATTAATGAGTTAATAACTTTTGACAGCAGAATCTGTTAAATGAACGAAGGGTCTTATCTTCTTAATTAGCATTACCTGAAGAAATGCAGAGCAAATTAGTGAAACCAAATGATTTTATATTCCCTGTTATTAAAAGGGGAAGCTGAAATGGATGAGAAAATCATACCAACCCTGATATAAATAGAAGCCTCAAAAATAAATACGATAGTTTTTCTTCATTCATGTAATCATGTTTGTATATTTACTGAATGAAATCGGCCTAAAGATCACTAACTTTTTTCCAATGAAAAGTCATTACAAGAACAATGAAAGAGTGCCTCCAATTTGTACCTGTGCATGCTCTAAACTCATTTTTCTAATGCAAAGTCATTACCAAGAAGTGGCAAGAACAATAAAAGCGTATATTCAGAAAGTCATCGGTTTTGCAAAATAACATTGCTAGAATCAGATATGTTACATAGATATTCAATTAAAAACCATCAAACATTCCATCACCACTTCGGATCATTGCTAAGGTTTCCTTCTTCTCCAGCATCACACGGACGAGTTTCACCATTCCAGTTCCAGCAGCAAGAAAAAGAGCTATTCGTCCATATTTATTCTTTGAAGCTCAATCCTTCTTTGTCATGCGTTGTAGAAGTTGCGTCTAAAATCAGCAAGAAAAAGCCGAAGTAACTCCATAACTTCTTTGTGTTTTGTTTTTGAATCTCAAATGTATTTGTAAAAAAATTAATTAAAAAAGGGGATAGATTAAATTAAAATGCTCCTAATTTCCAGGTCTATCAACAACCAGTGACCTAGATTGTGTGCTTGGAATTATGGGCTCATCGATTTGATAAAATCAAACAACACGGCTTGACTATTCTGTCAATCTCAAAGTGACCAAATTTCTAAACTGTTTTAGGAGCTAGACTTTAAACTTTGAATAAGCGATGACCTAAAAAATTATCCTTGTCTATTATTTCTAATCGCTATTTTCTCATTGCTCAAAATTCCAAGTTTATTGACTCAATAGTGAATCGAATTGTCTTAAATCTGAATTTCCACAAATATGATTTCCATCAAAGACCATCATTTTTTATTTTTTGAAAAAATTAGGCTTAGAAGTACCCATAGCGCACGATGTATAATTTGTATACCAACTAATTTGGAAATCTCCCTTAAATTAATGTGAAAGAGACTGGTTGCTTTTGTTTGTTGTTTTTTTTTTGCTTTTTTAGTTGATAATTTTAAATTTCATGAAAGTTAAATTTAAATTTCATATGGTTTATTATGCAGAAAGAGAAAAGATCCCCCATGGCTTTTCAAAAGAGGTAGCTGCAGCACCCTAACAGTTACCATAGTGTTACTGAATACTGTTACAAGATCCAAGCGTGCTAATGCAAAACCCTGTGATTCTCCAATTGAAATAGAGAAAATATATTCTGCAATTGAATGGTTCAGAGTATATATTTATTATCTTTATTTGTGATTCTCAGCTCAGAATGATAGCTTGAAATCTGCATATGAATATCGCTAAATTAACAACATTTAATAAGCATGCAAACTATTCTCTGCTGATCTTCAGCGTGAAGCATATAAGCAGTGCTCAAGTATTGAAAGTCAGTGCTCAAGCAGAGAACTTTGGTATGCAGGCACTCAAAAGTCAAGACTTAAAACTCCTAATAGATCTTTTTCAGAGTTGACAAGTAAATCCATAGATAACTAACTGGTTTACGTACTTGTGGAAGTTTGATACAAACTGAGTTCTGGTTTGTGTAAAATGAAGCTTCAATACGCGTACTTTTGTTGAGTATTACATTATATTGAAAATGGTGACGGTAGTTTTTGACCAAAATGAGTCAAAATTTTGTGTCTGTAAGTAATGAAAACTCAGGGTTGCCAAGTTAAATTTGCCCAATTTATATTTTGATATCATATGGATTACACTTTGTCAAGATATAAGCTTAGGAGCAGTCTGGGTTAAAATGTAATATTGAAAAGTAGTCAAGTCTGGGTTAAAATGTCAGAAATCAAAGCTGTGTAGAAAGGCAAGGTTTTTTATCTACGGTTATAAAAAAGGAAAGCCGCCTATTATTTTGTAATGAAAGTATCTTAATTCTCTCTTCTTCAATTTCATTCTGTTTTCTCTGTTTTTCTCCCAAATCGATTCTGGAATACTCTTCTCACACTTTTATGATAAGACTCTCCCTGTATTTAAAGAAGTTATATCTGGAAGGAAGGGATATGAGATCCGTCTTACCCATTAAAACAAGCATAAGTTGATAAATATAAACTATTAGTAAATGGAAATTGTTACAACTACGTATCTTTTGAGCACATATCTCTACAACAAGATTACAATCTATTACGTCATTCTCTACAAAAATTAAACGGAAAGTGCAAGCAATAATAACAAAATATCTCGCAGCATTCACTAAAAAACAAAAAAGAACATATACCAATATTCCTCAAGAAAGTTCCAGCATACTGAGTCCTCCCATTTCTTTATTGTTTTTGAAAGAAAACTGTTTTCAAAGGTCAAACGGGCTACACCGGAAAAGAGTTGCTGATGTTGCTTGGTGAATGATATGACAAGCAAAGAAGCAATCACGGTAGCAAGAATAGGAACCCTAATCTTTCCATGTTTGAAGACAATGAAAATAGTTGCACAAAACACCACTATTATATACTGCTGCTATTGATAGGAATAGTGTTGACAGTACAACGACCGCATTTTTCGGCAACACAATAAAATCTGCATCTGTATATCGTGCAGTGTAAATGGATACGATTGTTAGTATGGACCAAGAGGATGATGCCAGCACTATTGCATCTGATAACACAAAATTATGAAAGAAACTTTCTGAATGAAGTGAGGAGTAGTCCCTGTTTCATCTTTGGTGCCATCTGGCACCGTGAAGGCTGTTGCAAAAGCCACTGTGGTAATAAGTGTTGCCACAATCATACATGAATTTGCAATTTCCTTCATCTACTTCTCACCCTTATCTTTTAAATCTGTTGTCGTCTCTAGGAGTTCTTCCCTCATTTTTTGTTCCAGCATGCTTTGGATCCACAATCTTATTCACTTCCTACATTTATTGATATGAAAAATCTTATCAATGAAAAAAAAAAAATTCTACTCATTTACAGAAGAGTGATGTAAATATTTACCTTAAACCAAAACAACTCTTGCTGCCGGTGGAGAGCTATTCCTAATACATTATTAAGCCGTTCTTGCTTTAACGCATTATTAAGCCATTCCTGTGGTGGGCTCCTTCTAGCCAAATGTAAGATTTTGTTTTCTTGATTATCTTTGATCTCAAGTATTGATTTCTTCAATTTCTGGTCTATTTTGTCAATGAGTTTAAAGATTTCCTTTTAACGATTCAAAATAACAACGTGAAATATGTTATAATTATTTTCGTTAACTCTCAATATCAACTTAGGAAATTCACGAATAAGAATGGCTAGAAAATCAATATTTTGTTGTTTGACAGTTTCAAATATCACTGGCCTAGGCTGGTCAATAATTTCTGAAATCTTATTATCATCCAACTATAAATCATGAATTTGTTACCAAAGCCATTTGACTAATTCACGTGCTTCTAGGGGCAATTTTTCACGCCGGACCTTGTCGCTACCTGAACCTGCGAGTTTGTTGAGCCAACTTTAATTAGTTCACAGAAAAATTGAGAATTCAGAGATCTTTAAATTTGAAGAAAGACATGTCTTTAAGTTAAGGAAAAAACCAGGTTTTCGGTTAACCGAAAAACCGATTAATCAGTTAGTAAAAACTAGTTAACCAGTTTTGAATCGGTTTTAATTTAATATTTAATATTTTTATAATAAATAGAATTTTTTTATTTTTTATTTTAATTTAATATATTTATCGTAAACCGGTTAGTAAAGGTTAGTAAAACCGGTTTTGGTTTTCTTCAAAACCGGTAACCGAACCTAAAATTCTGTTTTTTAATTTCTTTGAACCGAATCCAAATTGGTTTTTTGGATCACCGGAAATTTGGTTCGTTTACCGGTTTAGTTCAGTTTATGCATTTTTTGGAGCACCCCTAATTTTTGTGATATATCCTACAAGGAAATTTAGATCATGCTTAATTTCCATGTCTACATAGTAAATAATGTGAAAAAATGGGTTGAAAGATAGAGTTACCTCTCTTTCGGTACCTTGCAATCTGAAACTGCAAATTAATTGAGCTCTAAAGTGGAGAGTGGAGAGAATGAGAACAATACTATTATAGAAAGAAAGACCTCAAAATTAGACTGACGGAGCTAACCATCAACTAAAGGGAAAGTATCAACAATAAGAGTCGGGCAAACTAGCAAGAAAAAGTGACGTACTCCTCCTCAAGTCAATAATAAGTGCAGCCATTTACAACATGTGATTAATATGTGGACGTGAAGCTATCAACCCAATCTCTTCTAAAATCTGCTAAATTTACTATTTAAACTTTAAAAGAATTAAAGTGATGATACCAACAGACAAAGGTCAAATTAGTTGTTGAAATTCAAGAAAATTATTTGTTTTTCAAAATTTACCAAAATTTTCTTTTTAATTTTAATTTCTTGACTACTAATTATGTTTCATATTTAATTGTTTAATGAATTGCTTTAATTTTATCATTTCTTCAAAATAATTACTTAACTTGGTGAAATATATATTAGTTGTAGAGAAAGAGGTAAGGTAACATTCCATCCATCCATTCCCATTGATGTCAAATTATCTGGGTTATTTTGTTATTATAAATAGATGTAGACAACTCATAAATCATATTTTCTTTTTTAGAGTAAAAGCCGGTAGATGAATGGAGCCAATTAATAGCAACATTGTTAGAGTAAAAGAGGTAAATTCATAAAGAAAGACCTCAAAGTCCAATTAATAGTTTTTGATAAATGTATAAATGTCTTTAAAATAGAGGCAGCCGAGATGATAACAGTGTGGAACTTGTAGCTATATGTAAGAAACAAATAGTGGAGCCATTAACCAAATTGAAGGGCTATTCATAAACAAGAAACACATGAATTTTATCTTACATTTCATCGATAAGTGGAGCCAAATGATGTACATATATCTCATCCCATCTTTAAAAAAGACTCTTCACCAGAGGACTTGAAGAGTTAACTGCTGTTAAATGCTAAAACCCACTACATCTACCATGATTTTTTGAAATATATCCTGGAATATTAAGTTTATGAAATAAGCCATTACCGTGACAAGAATAGGAATCCATAGCATCCCATCTTTGAAGACAATGAAAATAGTCGCACAAAACGCTACCATCATTGCTGATATTGATAAAGAAAGTGCCCCTAATCCAGAACTCAAACTCCGAGGTAATTTTGAAATGAAATCTTCTTCTGCACATGGGGAAGAGATAATCGATAAGAACGTTAGTATGGATAAAGAAGATAACATTAGCGCTATAGCATCTGATATGGCAAAAATTATGAAGGAAGCTCTTCGAACAAAATGCGGAGTCCCTGTCTCCTCTTTGGAGCCGCCTGGTACCGTGAAAAGTGCTGCGAAAACCACACTAGCAACAATTGTTGCTGCCATCAAGCATGAGTTTACAGTGTCCTTGATCCCTCTCTCAGCCTCACCCTTTAACTTTTTGTGTTTTTCAGCAAATTCAGCTCCAGCTCTATTTGTAGCTTCAGCATCCAATGGATGCAAAATTTTCTTCACTTCCTGCGGTAGTTGGTTATAGAACATCTAATCAATCTAGTGGAAAAAAAAATGGTTTTCCAAACAAAATCGTGTGCATGTAGTTAATTAATATTCACCTTAAAGAACAACAACTCCTCCCGCAGTTGCGCAACAACTCCTGATTCAGTATTGGGCCTATCAGATGGTGGTAACCTTGCAGCCAAATCCAAGATATGGTTCTTTTCATCTGTGTTCTGGACTACCAAATCCCCAAATGATCCATTCTCACGTATGATTTTGAAGATTTTACGTTGGTGATACAAGACAGCGCAATGAAATATGCCGTTCTTCTCTTTGTCAACTTCAAATATCAGATCAGGATATGCACCAAAAATTATGTTTAGAAACGCAAGGTTTCCTTGTTTTGTAGCCTCAAATGTTATTGGCCGGGGTTTTCTAATAATTTCTAAAATTTTGGAGTCATCCAAAAGCACAATTTGTTCCCAAAGTCTTCTGATAAGTTCAGTTGCTGATCGGGGAATCTCTTTAGTGGTAACTGAAAAAGCAAATATGATTTAAGCCAACATTAGTTTACTGAAAAATGCAAAACTACTCCGCATACAATCAAGAATGTAAGATAGCTACAATACACACAATGCAGTGAGAAATTATTTTGGCAGAATATAATAAAGAAAGAAAAAGTTTTACGCTTAAAAATAGTACACCAATGTATATAGTTCCCCTTCTCCACATCTCAATGTTTTATAAAACCCTGACTTAGAACTCTTGCAAACGAAAGTTCAATTCTAGATTTTACGTTCATAATTAAAAAATTTCGTTTTACTGGACGGGACAGTGCATCATAATTATCTTAATTTTCACTTTGCATAATTCCTAATTATTAAACAAAAAATTAACATAAAATCTCGTCATATCAATTTAAAAACAAAAAAGGAAAGAAAGCAAACAAATACCCACCAAAGATGCCAAATATAAACACCTTCATCAGATCCGACCAGCCCTGCCCCTGCCTCCGGCATTCCACCATGTCCTTCACCAGATCCTTGATATTAAACGTTCTCTTCAAAACTCCACTTACTGTTAGATCGAGAGCAGGTGTCAATACAGGCATTCGAGCCAAGGAGTGCAATGCTGTCTCCTCATTTTTATCTCGTGCAGTGGCTAGCTTTGGGTGCCTCTTTACCAAATCCAGCGCAATATCTAGTAATACAAAAATCTACATTATTAAAAATATAGATTATACCCTACAATATCAATTGGATCCTACCCTTCTTTAGTGCACCAATATGATCAAATAATAAAAGCCATTTTCAAACTTGTACTCACCAAGCCAAAATTAATGTGGAGGAAAAGATGTCGAATATCACAAGACTATCTTGTCAGATATTTATGTTACCGATAGATGTTTAAAAGTCTAATGCTCCCAATATAAATATTACTACTTACCATACCAGCCACGGTTAATGAGGCTGATAAGCAAATCGATACGATCATTATCATGATCAAATATCTTATCCTTAGTGGCTTCATAAAGGTATTCTACCGTCTTTTTGTCTCCAATTAGAGCTGCCTTGTGAAGCGGTAACATATCATTTTTTCCTCTAATCTTTACCATGTCTTTATTCTTCTTCATCATAGCCTTGACAATTTCAACCCTTTCGGAGGCTGCCGCAAGAAAAAATGCCGTATTGCCAGCATTATTTTTTACTTCTAAATCCTTTTCATTCTTTTTATCAAGCAGCATTTTCACAAAATCAGTGTGCCCTGCTGCAGCTGCAATATGGAGATCTGTGCCCCCATCCTTTGATAGCTCAACTGTTATCATTTTTTCATCTTCCATGTAAATTCTTTCAGCAGTGATCCAATCACCTTCCAATGCAGCCAGGTACAATTTGAAGCGCCTATTTCTCCATTTAATTTCTATCATTGATACATTCACATTAAACTCTGATGATTAAAACTAAGAGAAGATAATTAAGTACAATTAACAAAGGTTACATGTAGGGTTTTGATATATAAAAAGATTATTATGTTAACTTTGTCACATTTGCAATTCCTCTCGACAAATTTATTGAATAGACCATTATAACCTATTATAACAATTATTTTTTATTTAAATTAAGTTACAAAATATATATATATATATGGATAGATTATTAGCCTTCACAAAAAATTTATTCAAATGTCAAATGCAACCTTTAAAAGTAAATTGGTCGAATGAAACCATCACAAATAATTTTTCATCCACGAGTTATTTATTTAAACATATTGTGTTATCTATAATTAGGGAATTTAAAAAAAAAAATCTTAAACAAAAAAAAAAAAAATACAATTAACAGAAGTTACATTTGATCTTAAAATAGACGCTTAATGGTGCTTTTCCGTTATATTTAACTATATTAAAGATGTTAATATTATTTTATACATAAATACGTGTTCCATATAAAAAAATATACGTTTAGAAAGAAACCATTCAAAAGTTGACACGTTTCAAATAAATAAAAAAAACTAAAACTTTAAAATTTTAGAACCATTAACCTCACTGGTGTTAGGCTTGGCTAGAGTCATTGGCTTGGCCAATGCCTGATAAAAGGATTCATAATAGGATTAAGAACTAACCGTGCTCAATAATTAATAATTAGTATGGGTCATTATGGTCCAAATTAAATTAATTTTAAACCTATCAATTAAATTCAATGCTAACTTTAAACTTTTTAATTTTTAACTAAACTTTTTAATTTAAAAGTTTAAATTTCAAAATATTATAAAATATTTATAGTTTGGTATTGTCAACAATGATCTCCTATTTTGATGGCCAATACTTCTTATGTGCTTATACTGTTACAATAGACAAATTATTAATTTTTTTTATTTTAAGGAAACCAAAATAATTTTGTTGATAATTAATGTTAATTAAATGAAAAGTATGAGAAAAATAAAATATTTTGTTGAAAATTGATATCAAAATTAAGATGATCAAGTAAATATGCAATTAGAAATATCAAGAACAGATCATACTTACCAAGCAATTTGTATCAATTAAATCTAAAGATAACTTTAAATTTTTACTAAACTTTTTAATTTAAAATTTAAAATTAAATTATTCCTGATAGTTTAAAATTACAAAATTGTAAAATATTTATATGCCCTTGCACTATTCAAATAAAGTTTATCAAAACGAAAACGGTGATTAAAAATTTTAAAGACGTAAAAATGAAAGGATATTAAGAAAATTCATCGTTTTAAATTTTTTTTTTTTAAAAAAAAAAGACAACTTACAAGATAATATCCAAACTTACCAGCTTGGTCTTTGTGAGGAGGAGATGCCACAAGCTCTTCTATTTCTTCAAATGAACCACGTTTTATTGTCACATCCTCACCTATTTCTACAAATGACCCCTTTTTTGATCCATCTGTTGTAATCCTCAATATTTTATTATCCAAATTTTTGTAATAAATCTTGTGCATTTATATAATACTAGGAAAACAAAATTTATTTCCTTTTTGTTATAGGAAAACCAAAACGATTGTTAAAGAAGTGAAAAGATGTATAGAATCGTTTAACACTTAATTTACATAGTAAAAGGTTTAAAGAAGTGAAAATGAAAGGATATGCAAAACAATGTATCTTGTAAAAATACAACATAAAATAATAGGCAATTAAAAAGATAATATTAAAACTAAACAAATTGGTCTTCATGAGGATCTGATATGTAAATCTCAACTATTTCATTAGATGACTCATTCTTTGATGTAGTTGTTGCATCACTCACTACTTCATTATCAAAACTTTATCTTATGTGTTGCACTTATATAATACTAAAATTATAATTTTCTTTTTGTTGTAGGAAAACCAAAGCAATTATTAAAGAAGATTAAAGACACATGGAAAGATCTATCTAGACCTTACATCTTTAAGGGTATGAAATAATATAACATGCAGTTTAATTACAAGGTGATATCGAATCATACCAATACGTTTTGGAGTAGGAGATGTCACAAGCTCATCCATTATTTCATGTTCCTCGTTTTTTTGTGTAATGTTAATCCTCACTTCTTCAACAGATATTTTGTTGTAAACCATGTTAGCAACTTTATGTATTTAGATGTAAGTTAAATTTAATTTATAAGATTACATATTTCCAATAAATAGAATTTAAAATGTTTTAGTTTTGAACAATGTTCGTATTAATCAATTAAATACTTGTCAATAATATTAAGTGAATATATGCAAGTATGCATGTATATATGTATAAAATGTTAAACTGTTGTGTCGATGCAATTTAGGAAAATAAAAATATAATAAAAATAACATGCCACCAACTCAAGCAACACAATTAGGAAGAAGAAAATAATTTATTAGAAAACTATTTTCCGCATTATTACTTCTTACATTGACAAAGAGGAGAAATTATAAAGAATTTAATGAAACAAACTATTATTGATCTTAATATCTCTGAATCTCTTGTAATACAAAGTAAGCTCGTAACAAAGAATTTTGAACAATGTTCGTATTAATCAATTAAATACTTGTCAATAATATTAAGTGAATATATGCAAGTATGCATGTATATATGTATAAAATGTTAAACTGTTGTGTCGATGCAATTTAGGAAAATAAAAGTATAATAAAAATAACATGCCACCAACTCAAGCAACACAATTAGGAAGAAGAAAATAATTTATTAGAAAACTATATTCCGCATTATTACTTCTTAGATTGACAAAGAGGGGAAATTATAAAGAATTTAATGAAACAAACTATTATAGATCTTAATATCTCTGAATCTCTTGTAATACAAAGCAAGCTCGTAACAAAATTTTTACATTGACAAAGAGGAGAAATTATAAAGAAAGACTTCAAGTCAAGCGATTATAAATAAAAAATTGAAAATCAGATGGATAAATATAAATATCTATTTTATAAAGAAAGAAAGGCCTTAATGGTTCAGCAAAAGACAACAATGACATATATAACTTATATACACTTCCCAAGACATGCGCTTAATATATTACTAGGTAAACAAATTAATTTACCAAAGTGATTATAAAAGAAGTTTAATGATATAAAAGGATCCATGCTCAAACAATGCTTTCTTTATAAGTTTTAAATAATATAGCATGCATGCAGTTTATAAGGTAATTAATATTGAATCATACCAGCCTTTTCTTGAGAAGAAGAGGACACAAGCTCATCTTGTCCATTAAGTCAATTTCCGATGCAATGTTAAGCCTTACGTCAGCTGTAGACATTTGACATATATAACAGGAAGTTATTCTTATCAGGTGACGAAATGCAGTCTGTATTTGACATAAAATTTAAAGGTAGCTCTATTATTTATTTTCAAATAATAAAAAATCTTAAATTGTTTGTTTAAATTGAATCAATGTTAAAAAAATTATGTTAGAAGAGCTTGATTCTCAGAAATAGGTATAAAACCATTAATTTACTAAATTCAAGAACCATTATTTAAAAAAAAAAAATAGATTTTTTATTCATATTTCTCTATATTTAAACGAATATGTACTGATATATATTGTTGTTAATTGAACGACTTTAGAATCAAGGAGCAAAAAAAGAGATAAAGAGCAGAGAGGAGAGTTCTGGAAAAGTTAGTTGAATATTCTCTAACAGAATAAAGGTACAAGACTAATATTAATTGAGTAAAAAATTGATAAAAATTTAGATATGTCAAAATTTAAATGTCGTATCTACATAGTAAATTAAAAAAAAAAGGGTTAAATGATACTATTTGATGCTTAATATCCATGTCTTCGTAGTAAATAACGTGAAGAAATGGGTTGAAAGATGTTACCTCTTTTGGTCGCTTGGTAGGATGCAATACGAAGCTGCAAATTAATGGAGCTCTCAAGTTGTCAAGTGGAGTGTGGAGAGAATGAGAACAATGCTACTCTTATATAAAGACCTCAAAAGTAGATAGATGTAGCTTAACCATTAAATTATACTTAGCGTGGGGCTGACTAGCAAGAAAAAGCAAAACAAGTACTCCTCAAGTGAATAAAGTATTGCCATTTACAGTGCAAAAGCAAATATTACAAGAAGTGATTAATAATTGGAGGTGAAGCTATCAACCTAATCACTTTAAAGATTTTTTTTTTTTAAATTTTTTTAAATTTTTTTAATTTTTTTTTTTTTTTTTTTTTACGTGTAAGTCATCAATTGGTCAATAGAAGATAAAGGGTTACTCAGAGAATAAACTTAAAAAAAAAATTAAAGAATCAAAGATAAAGGGTTTGGTTGGTATGTAACCAAATTATTATGTTAAATTTGTCACATTTGTAATTCCTCTTCACAAATTTATGACCTATTAAAACAATTACCCTTTTTTTAAAATAAGTTACAAAAAGAAAAGCATTTATGGATACATTATTGGCCATAAGTATATATTTTTTTCTGGAATTACAAAGGAAATAATAAATGCAATAACTGACACCAATATTTTTAGGTGAAGATATCAAGGACATCCTATAAAATAAATAAAATGGTCACATGGTTTGTGATCTATGTTTCCATGAATGTCTTCATTGCAATATAGAATTATATCTTGTGTGCCAATATGAATCTTCTATCTTTATTTTCTTGAAAGAACAAAGAGCCTTAAAGTGACATATCAATTTTCCCCCAAAATTAAAATAAAATAAAATTGGATATTCTTTGCCTTTGATTTATATGAATCCAAGAATAACAATAAAAAAAAAAGAGTGTTTACTAAGTATTAGACAATGAATTTTGCAGCTTAATATGAACCTTGTGTTCTAATTAATAACTAGTTTACAAACTTTTGAAATACTAACCTTAATTTAATCGTTAAACCTGAATAAAATTAATGAATAAATAGAATTATTTATTGAAATAAAAGAATTTTAATGGTTTGGGTCCATGTGCTATTAAAAAAGTACGTGGGTTTGTTGGTAATCGTATGAAATTTCAAGGGAAACTAATAACTTTTCCATAATGAGGATATTAAAAAAAATTAAAAAAATTAAAAAATAAAATAAAATTGGCATGAAGTGAAGGGTAGGAGAAGAATATGTGGCTCTTAGTCTTATGGCCTGCAGTGAAGAGTAAGAGAATAATATATGGCTCAAGGCCTCATAAAGTGAAGGAGATGCCAAATGATGGTAACATTTCCTGAGGGATTTCTGCAATTTGTTTCTTCCTAAAGGAAAGATATATATTATGTCTAATTAAATTACCATGCGGGATATATTAAAGTTGTTGTAAGTTCTTCACCAAATTACTCATCAAATTCTTTGAAGTTTGGTTATTCGTAATATTGTTTTAAAACGAAGAAACAAACTTAAAAGAATTTGACTACTTTGGTAAAGAACTTGGAACAAAATTAATATGTCCCACATGGGTTTTAAACATAAATAATTAGATAATTTAATTTTAGCATTTATATGTTGGTGTCAAACATTAGTTTCAATAAAAGCAAACTTTATATGAAGTTTATAAGTTGGTCACATGATCAGAGGTCTTACTAGTGAGTGATTGAGCAATTAGATAAATTGTTGGGATTTGTTAATCATGACTTGATAAATTAAATGAATCTTGTTCATTACTCAGCATTTCCGATACATAATGAAAAGATTATTTTGCAATGAGCTAACACAAGTGATGATTTGAACTAGAAAAAAAGTACTAAAATTATACAAATGACTAATCATATAAGAAAGAATGGGGAATTGGAGCAGAGGGAACAGGGTGACAAGAACACAAGCAACAGTGGCCATTGGAATAGCTAGCCATGCACACCATATACACTTAAAAGAGAGACAGAGAGAGAAATTATTTATAAGAATAGCTATTATACGTTTATTAGGAAAATTTTAGATTTGACATTTTTCTATAAGCTCTTTTTGAGTTTATTTAAATTGTAAAAATTTCAAAAATATTCTTAAATTGCTGAAATTTCAAAAAGCTCTTTTCTTAACCAAACAACTAATAAACTATTTATAAAAAGCTTACTCTATTCTAATAAGTCTATCAAATTGACTGATATGTATAAGTTGGCTTAATTTGGAAGTGGGTCTTTATTAATATATTAATTTTGAATGATATCATAAGTGATGTTGTGTAAAACTATTAAGTTTGATCTATCGACTTGGTTTAAATAGTAAATAATTTTGGTACCTTACTAGTATGCAATCTGCAGCTGCAAATTAATGGAGCTCTCAAGAGTGTGGGAAGAGTAAGAACAATACTACTGTTATAGAAAGACTAAGAACAATACTACTGTTATAGAAAGACCTCCATGAAGCTAGCCATTAACTAAAGGACTAGTGTCTTTATTTCAAGATGTAAGTAATAGGAAAATATGAAAATAAGAAAGAGTTTATTTCATTTTTAATATGAAATACATTGTTATTAATAAGTATTATATATTTTTTATCATGGTGTTTGTTGATTCTTTATTAAGGAGTTTTTAATGATTTTGAAAAGTACATTATAATATTTAAATTAAATCCCACATGAAACATTTGTGGTTAAGCATGCGTGAACCAAACCCCACATTCAATTGACAAACTTTAATTAATTTAAGACTGTTACATTTATGAATTATGATAACATAATCTGACAAATAATATAATCTTCAAGAATAAAATTAAAGCTATGTCAATGTCTTTGTAAAATCTGGATGCAAACTTTATAATTGTAATATTAATACTTAATACTCATGCATTAGAATAGTTATTTGCTTAACAGAATGATAAACACGAGTAAGTTATAAACATTGGAATTATTTTCTCTTTTTTCTCTTAAGTGTTTCTTTCTAGAATTTCTGTTTTCTTTGTTTGCTAGTTGAGGGATAGCCAGGCATTTTCTTATAAGCATTCTTTGTGATTTTGAATTAATTAACACTAGGAATTCTCTTTGTACAGCTAATTTTTGTCCTCGATCAATCATTCTTGTTGAGGCACAGCGATGTTTTTGATCCCAAATACAGCAGCAAAACAGAGGTTTTCTATTAAATAATTTCACAAAGCTGAAACTTGGAATGTTGTTGACAATCTGAGAAGAAAAACAATAAGAGCTTAAAAAGGAGGTTTGGCTTAAGTTCATAAGGCTGAAGGCGCAAAAAAATTTGAAATTTAGTTTAGTTTGTTAAAAGAAGTATGAATGGTTCCTTTAGTTTTCATTAATGGAATTATGGAAAATGGCTACTGTCATACTAACGTTTCAATTACAAATGAAATTAACACAGGTTCATTGCACTTGGATTGAACAGCAGGGCTTTAGACTTCAAAAGCTTATAATTCTGCATTTGTACCATAATAGTAAAATCATGGTGCTATGAGATTTCTACTGGGTACTAGAAGGCAAAATAAAGCCCCAATTTTAGACCACATATACGTAAGAATAAACCTGCAGATGACATGACTGGTCTAAATTATACACAAGAACCCAAAGAAGATTACCATTTCTACTTTCAAGTAATCAACCACCTACAAACTAGATATATCATTCAATAAAAACACATTTCTGTAAAAAGCAGAAAATAAACTACTTGGCTGATAGAACAAATTAATAAGCTACTACAGGTTTCAAGCCTTAGCCCAACTAAATAATTTGCACTTCCAAATTCATTTTGAAACACAACAAATAGATGAAAAGAAATCATGGTAGTACTTATACACATGGGTAGCCCAACTAAATAATTTGCACTTCCGAATTCATTTTGAAACACAACAAATAGATGAAAAGAAATCATGGTAGTACTCATACATATGGTTAGCCCAACTAAATAATTTTGAAATTATATCCATTCTGGAGAACCTGGAGACATACTTGGCATGACAGGCAGATAGGTCACCCCTAACCATAGTTGAACTGTCCTTAGCAGACTAGCTTTTGAAGCATTAATTTCATTGATGCAGGAAACAAAATATGAAGATCTCAGAATCAATGTTAAAAGATGTTATACTAATGTTAGAATTTGTTCTTTCAAGAAACTAATGTTATGGGCAGAACTAGTTACAGTATGGAATCCACTATCATGTTAACTTCACTGGAGATTATCTGGATCGAGCTAGTAAAAGAAGTGATGGCTAGGACCAGAGAAGATACTAGAGTTTGTATAAATGACTAATCATATCAAAGAAGAAGAGGGAATTAGAGCAGGGCAAACAAGGTGACAGGAACACAAGCTACTAAAGCAATTGGAAACGCACTAAAATGAGTAAATGCACCTCTGCCAAATCCCAAGCTCACTTCCACTCACAAAATGCCAGAGGCTTCCTGGCAATACATGAAGAGCCGTCTCTCCATTTTCCATTCCGAGCTATAACATGACTGAGATTAGATTTCGTAATTGAATGGTTCTGGGTATGTTAATTACCTTCAGTTGTCAGTTCTCAGCTCAGAAGCAAGCCTGAAATCCCAACTATGAATATAACTCAACCAACAAAGTTTAATGTTAAAACTGATAGCTGGAAATGAATTCTGTAGGAACATATAAAAATATATTAATAATCAGCTATAATAATGTGAAAGAAATTATAGTAGCATAAAGTATGTTAAATGATGCTGAAATATTGTATCACTAAGCTAAGGGTAACTGGAGCAAGAAAAGAAAAAGAATTACCAAGAACAATGAAAGAGCGGCTCCAATTTGCACCCAAATTCATACTCAAGACTCATTTTTCCAATGCAAAGTCATTAACAAGAGCAATAAAAGCATATTCAGAATAACGTAATACCAATACTACAGTCAGATATGTTATATACGTTGACGGCACACCCATAAACATACTAAATGTGCCCTTGTGTTCACTTGGGACTTTTTTCGAACACCTTATGGACTATCCAAAAGAATACATTCAAGAACTTGATCGAGTGAATCTAATGAACCAAAGTTATACAAATGCCACTAATATCACAACCAAAATCTGTGTGTTTAAGGGATCTTAATCACTCAGCCTCACAGGAGACTACCTGTGTCACTAGATTAAGGGGATCTTAATCACTTAACCTCAGAATCTGTGTGTTTAAGTTTCTTGCTCACTCTTTTGTGAAGCTTGTTCTGCCCTTTGTGTTTTTCTTCCACAAGCTAACTTAGCAAAGCGAACTCTCGAACTTACCTTCTCATCCACTCAATGCAAATGTAGCTATGAAATCCTCAAATGAACCTATTTCATGTATGAGTTTAAAGAAGTCTTCTTGACGATAGCAATTAGCAAACAGCATAATGAAATACGCTCTATCAACAAATGGAATCTACTGTTACATGCACTTGAGATTACCGTGCACAAAGTTACTGCTAATTTCTGCCGTAAACTCTTTTTGAGCTTTATCTGTAAGCACAACGTCTTGACAAATCACAATATAAAGTGTTTTTTCAGTTAGTATTTAGTAAGACTGTGTAATCGTCAGCTCTTTGTTAAGAGTCCGGTTGACTTAGCTTTGACTTTAATTATACTAATTTCAGCTATAAAAGGAAACCATGTACTCTCAATAGAAATAGCACCAACTTCTTCGACAATCTGTCTTTTTCTTCTTCTCAGTTTCGTTCTTTGAATTCTAAATTAGTTCAAGTTTATTTAAATTGTTGAAATTTCGAAAATATATTTATATTATTTTATAAATTTGACTTGATCTTTTATTTTGCATTATAACCCTTTTGATAATTTAAATTAATAAATTATTTATAAAAGTTATATTTTTTAAAATGAGTTAGTTACACATATCTCTACTAAGATTTTAGCATTTCAAAGGTGTATAGAAAATATTGTTAGGTTAACACAAACATTCCAGTCTTTTAACTTTTTTTAACATTTTGTTAGGATTATTTTCCTTACACCTTCTCCAACATATAAAATTTGTTAGAGTAAATACCCTAAAGCCAATTAATTATTGTAGAATTGACTCTTTGTAATAATGTTTATTAATCAATAAAACACATTTTTTGTTATATCATGTAAACCATAGTTGTACGTATTAATATACGTCATTAGAATGGTAAAATCGTGATAAAGGTATCAAGTGTTTCAAATCTTGATAGTGAAAACCCTATGATCACATATGATGGTCATCCTATAAATATCCGTAGCCCTAGTATTATCCTAATACGGTAAGACTATCATAGTATTGAACGACCCTGTCAAAAAGCAATAACTAATCTTACTTATCAATGTTGTTTACCGACAACTTGGTGTGACACATGGGTTCTTGCTTTAGGCAAGTTCACTGGACAGACCCATCAGAGGATTCCATATAGATGGTAACCCTAGTGTCTATGGAATAAATCCTTTAACGAATGGTGGTGCATGCGATCCTTAGACTTGAGATTACTAGGACGCCTTGTGCACTAATTGGTATAGTTTGATACTAGTCCAACGTAGTTCTATTCAGAGCTATCAATACGGTGGTAATTGGTTGCATTGAAAAGTGTATTAAGACTATAGTATATTGACAGATGATTCATCACTCCCGGGTACGGAAGAAGTTATCTTACGGCGTAATTAAGTGAATGACAATGACATTAAAGCTGTGACCACAGTGGGATTGAGTTATTGCTCAATCCAATTTATTAATTCGGTCATTAGTCTAGTGACTAAATATAAAGATATCGAGAATAACTGAGGTTGACGCTAAGAAACTTTAAATTTTATGTTGATAATTAAAAGTAAAATAATGAAGTATGCAATTAAAATATCAGCAGACATAGTGCATGCTTACCAAGCAAAGAAACTCTATTCATCACATTTAGAAATAATCTGTTTTCATCAATTTCTTCAAAGGGTTCTTGGATTATGTAAAGGAACTCCACCATCTCGTTATTGCCCCACTGAGCCGCTGCGTGAATTGATAACATCTCCATATTTCCATTTCCACGTATATTTGCTAACTCTTTACTCTCCTCAAACATCGCCATGGCAATTTCCACCCTTCCCTTTGATGCAGCAACATAAAAAGCTGTGTTGCCATCACGATTTTTAATAGTCAATTGATCTTTCGTCATATAATTTACTAGCTCGTTGACAAACAAAATTGAGTTTGCCTCAGTTGCTACATGGAGAAGGGTGTTCCCGTTTGGTCTTCTTTTCGTAGCACTTAAATAGTTTGAATATTTCATTGGATCTTCTTCAAAACATCCTTATCAGCTGTGTTCCAATCATTGTCCAATGCAGCTCTGAACAATATATTACAAGCTTCATATTTCCTTGAATAATCTTGAAAAGGACAAACAAGAACAAGTTTTACACCAAGAAAAAAATTTAATGCCTTCAAACTGGTTTCGAGGTAAATTGATGGAGTAAATAATATTTATACAGAGTCAATAAGTTTCTACTTAATTAAATTGATGTTCTCTATATATGCAGATTATTTCAATAAACCCTTGGCTAACATTTGAAATAGGAGTTGAGAGAAACTAGAAATAAAATTTATAAATTAAATTAATTTTAAACCTATCTATTAAATTTAATGCTAACTTTAAACCTTTTAATATTTAACTACACTTTTTTATTTATGATTCATCCCATCCTTTTTTTCATGTAACTCATCACTGCATTAGTAGACATTTGTTGTAAACCTTTTCGCAAGTGTACGAAATCGTGCAAGTAATAAAGCTCGAGTGTGCAAGTAATAAGCTCGAGTAAACGAGTGTCGAATCCCAAAAAAACTACTTACTAAGTACCAAACTAGTATATCTTATTGCTGTTTGATGAAACATAATTTAAGAAAAGCTTTAATGACAATGTAACAAACTAAAAACTAAATAAATGAGAATTGTTAAAGCTTTGATGTAAATGACAACGTAACAAACTAAAAACTAAATAAATGCAGAATTTGTTAAAGCTTTGATGTAAAGATCAATATGACTAAACTAGAGCATAGATTTTACACCAATTTAATCCTATGCATTGACAATATTGCTAACCTAATTGAGCACATTCAAAGGCCAAATATCCTAAATCACTAACTCTCTCTCGAGCAATTAGCAAATTAACCTTAAAGCAATAACCCAAGATATCTCTAAATTGGATTTAGGTGCTAAAAGATCGTAAGTTCTATGGAATCTACCGGAGCTCACAGATTGCGGTAATCTATCTCTAGCATTCGCTCAATCTATGGTTTTATTACCTAAGACAAATCAGTTTCATCTCTCGATCTCAACCCAACCCATGATATCATTCAACTCTCGGGCCCTTGAGACTTAAAAGCATTACACACGATAATGTTAGAGTCATGAAAGTGACTCTATTTTGGTGATAAAAAAACCCATTTGTGATTAAATTGAGGTATATTGAGACAATTAAAGAATTTATGAATTTATTCATGAAAATCACTTCCTAATATTTTCTTATGAATTTAAAATGTTTGGAATGATTTTGGAAGTATATGAGTTGATATTAGGTTGTGGTTTATGGATTAAGGGTGATTTTGTCTCATTTATGCTGTTAGGGGGTAAAATGTCATGTTTAAGGGCTGATTTTGTCACTTTTTAATTGTGCGGGACTAAACTGAAATTTTGCAATAGTGCTATAAAAGAAAAAAGTGCAGATCGCGTCCGAGGGGCTGTTCATCTTCACTTTTCCGGCGACCTTTCATTCATTTCCGGCGACCTCCGGCGACGTTTTCATCTTCCTCGACACAGATCATCATCCGTCAAAGCCACGGCAAACCACCACGGCAAACCACCACGGAGAAACACCACGCCGCGACGCTTCGTCTTCCACCGGACTCTTCGTCTTCCCGGCCAGTTTGGCCATTTTCCGGTGACGTTCCAGCTCCCAAGGGTAGATCTCACTTCCCCACAGCGGATCTACACTTCCTAGCTTCAGCCGCCGCGGAAACCGCCGGAATCCGTGATTTAGCCGCCGCGACTCTTCATCTTCCAGGCCAGATCTGCTCATTTCCGGCGACTTCTACCTCCCGGGACCTGATCTGAACTCCCCATCACCAGAGCTTCCATCGGTACTTCGGATCCCATTCCGCCACCGTTTTCCGGAGACCCGCCGGAAAATTAACGTTTTCGGCGAACCGCGGCTGTTCGTATTCGGGCTGTCCGTTGGTCGTTTTCGCCCCTTTTTCGCATCATATCGCTGTCGGTTACTCCTCTCCGTCATGGTCAGCTCGTTTCCAACGTTTCGGCCTCGTCATCACCACCATGAGCGGCTAAGCTCCCGGTTGTCTGTTACGGCATAGGCGAGATGGGATTGACTCCCGACTCTCCTCATCAGCTCTCGAATAGTTGGATGAGCCCGATTATAGGACATTTGGTAGTATTGTGCTTCGGATATATGTTTGTTTCATGATTGATTTCGATACTTAATATGATTTGGGCATAATTTGTGACGAATATTGTTGTCCATTGTGATTTATATTCATAGAACTGCTGAATGATAAACCTTGGTTGGAATAATAAATGTGAATATTGCTTACATTACTTCGCATCGATTGTAATTGAGTTGTGTTTGGATTTAATTTAATTTCTACTATTGTTGCGTTTATTGTGAAGTGGTTGATTGGAATTACGTGTTGACAGATGTATTTGTTAATCGCGTACCAACTAGTGGTATTGCCTTGTAGCGTTTATCGACGTTCAATGATAGTCTTTAACCAATCGAACTTGAGTGATCGGGTGAGACAGGATAGATTATACCTAGAGTGCGGGGAAACCATTTCATGATTTACCTTGCCTTGTAGGTTAGGGGATCGTAGAGGGTGGGGAGGAGACTTGTGTGAGTCGGTCTCGTGTGGACCAAAACCGTAACGGCAACATTTTTATTATAAAGTTTTCATTAGTTTTAATTGCGCTATTTCATTATTTGCATTTGTCTATTTAGTTTCATTAATCCATTGCCAATTTCATTTTCGCTACTTAAAATACATTAGGTTGTTAGTCTTGCTCCCGTGGATTCGTCGCTTACCGCTAACACGGTACTTAGGTTTATATTTTAGACTGTGACGATTGGTCTAACAAAATTTTGGCGCCGTTGCCGGGGAGCAACGTGCTTTGACTTGTGTGTTTGGGTAGTTATTAGTTTTATTCTAGGTTTATTTAATCTTTGTTGTTTTGTTGTTGTGTTGTGTTATTTTCTCTTGTGATTATTGTTTGGTGAATTGTTTAATATTTGTGTTCCGTTTAGTTTGTCTCTTTGCATTTTTAGTTAATTATTTCTTTTTAGGTTGTTTGCGTAATTTCATTTTCACTTGTTCTATTTTATTTTCATTGGAATAGTTTCATTGTGTTTGTTTTTGTTTGCAGGAAAATTGCAATTGGGAAAACGCTTCAGCGTGTCGTGAGCATTGAAGATCCTGCACGTCCCGATTGTGAAATTCTCTTAACCTGATGTTTTGTCCTTAGTATTAAATTCTTTAGGTTGCATTGATAAATTTAGTTTTGATTAAACATTTGTGTGTGGGAAATTTCATTGAGTATAGTTTCGTTAGATTTTAGATTTTTTTAGTTTGTTTCGTGTGCTTAGTAAAATTTGTTTCTTAGGTTTTGCATTTAGTTTATTTTCTTTGACATTGTTGCTGCGTTGCTTGTTGAGGATTTGTGTGTTTGGTTGATGAATGCAAACTAGAAGGTCTTTTAACGAAGAGTTATTACCTTTGAATCTTGAAATTGAACGCACTTGTAAAAAGAATAGAAAACAAGCACGGAGGATGGCTGACCAGGATGAACCCGCACATGTGCCTTAGCCAACATTTCGCAACCACCACCTACACGTCAGCCTCATGTATCCATATCCCCAATGTCCCGACACAGCACTATGAGATCAAAACTAGTGTCATCCAATTGTTGCCAAATTATTATGGGAATTTAAATGAGGAGCCATACAAACACTTAGATGAATTTTTAGAGGTTTGCTCCACAGTTAGACTTCAACATGTGAATGAAGATGGCGTGCGCTTAATTTTGTTCCCATTTTCACTTAGGATCGAGCCAAACAGTGGCTCAATTCTTTGGCAGCAGGGTCCATTATCTCTTGGACCCAAATGCAAGAAGGATTCCTAAAAAAGTATTATCCCATGTGTAAAACCAACAGCATACGACGAGCCATTACTAGTTTCGCTCAACTTGATGGCGAGGAATTTTATGAGAGTTGGGAACGTTTGAAGGAAATACTTAGGAAGTGTCCCCATCATGCAGTCCCTAGGTGGCAATTAGTTCGTAGTTTCTATGACGGACTAACGAGAGGCATGGAATATGGTAGACGCCTCTGTGGAGGAACATTATGCACAAGGACGAGAATGAGTTATGGCAACTCTTCGAGACCTTAAGTGAAAATTCAATGCACCACATTTCTGCGTCTAGAATGCCTATCTCAGGGCAGCCATCCAAGAAGGGTGGGTGTATGAGGTTCACGGGTAGATGACATTAGTCCAAGTTAGAGGTGTTGGCCCACGATTTGACCAGTTTGTATCTATACAAGGGCAAAACCTCTACACAATCATCCAGAAGGTGAATCAGGATGTTTTTGCCATGCACTCCACTCTTGACCATCCGGTTGAGGAAACTGCCCCTGACCCTTTGAGGAGCAAGTGCAAGTTGCACAAGGCTTCCAGAGACGGAGCGATCCGTACTCGAACACATACAATCCTGGTGGCGTAACCACTAATTTTTCAGGAAGCCAAAAACACCTCAGAATGTCCCTAATAACATGCCATACAGGAACAATCCTTCAAATCAGCAAGGCAATTATAGGGAGCAACCTTCAATCCAAACACCATCCAACCTAGGTTCTCACCTCCCGTTCAGCAGCCTACTCCGGTGTCTAGTTCACTAGAATCAATGATGGCTCAAAGCTTCAAACCGCAGGAACAAAAAGCCGACATGAATGCTAGGTTCCAGGATTTAGAGCAGAATACCCAACTTCTACATTCCCATTCCCAATCTATTAGTAAGCTAGAGACCCAGATTGGTCAAATAGCCGAAGCAGTCAATAGGAGGGAAAAAGGCCAATTGCCTAGTCAAGTCATAGGTAACCCTAGTGGTTCTTCTCAGCA